TTTGGTAAACAAGATGTGCCGTAACTGTGTCCGTTTCCCTAACAGTAGTTTGGATATTCCTAATCATGTAAGATCAAAAAAACATTCAATATTTTGAAATAATCTTTGGGTTGAGGGATTTTGATTGGCTAAGAAATTGAAAGACGTATGGGAGTTCTTACTGATTTGTTACTGCTTGGGCAGATAACATCCAACAAGTTTACAAAGATTTTGTGCAGGAAACAATGCAGAGAAAATGAGAAACAGAATGAAACACGTAACTTAGTGGAATAACTTTATTAAAAGATAATATGGATTAAGCTCACTAAAATGGAGAATAATTTTCCCAGCAAAGAATGATTCATTGGAATATTCTGCAGCTATTCACCAGCTCTGCAGGGTGATTACTCTCCTTTAGATGATGTAATTTTAAGGGAATCTCACAATACTACTCAGAACAGTGTTCTCAAGTTCCTTCAAAACTGAGGGAATTGAAATAAATCCTAGATCTGGTTCTACAACCTGTAAACCAATCAAGTCTATTAACAAACATATTTTACTGACCAACAAACAGGACAAAATCAATTTTGAAATCTGTAATTATTTATTTGCAATAATTCATGGTGAGTTGAGGGGTTATATGTTAGGAAAGAATTGTAACATCAGTTTACCTTCATATGTAATTTAATAGCTCTGTTTTTTCACCTTTCAGTTTGTAAAAACTATTTTATCACAAGGACATTTGACTCCATTGCCTCTTAATGTCAGCCCTATCTATTGGGCCTATGACTACACCTTGAGAACTTACCCTTTGCCAGATCTGATTGTTTTTGCTGACAAATATGACCCATTCACTGTAACCAACACCGATTGCCTTTGTATAAATCCGGTAAGATCGTGCTTATATTTTTCCATCATCAAACAATGATGAAAATATGTTTCTAACAAGCAACATATATTAGAAATAACAAAGCTGGTCAAATCCCAGACTAACAAATCATCCAGATAGTATCTATCATGGATTTTTGTTGTTCTTCTCATAATAGATACTGTCTGCATCATTATGAAGCATAGTATCATTTTCTGTCATTAAAAATAATCTTTCTGTTATAGCATCCATCTTATTTTCAAATGTTTTAAGATAGGCTAAAATTATTTATTGTAGACAGAAAATAAAAGAAAAAATGAATTTGTAATGACTACTGTCATATTAATTTTCATTAATAAAGAGTTACTACATGATGTATTTGAACTTATATTTAGAGGTGTTAAGTATGTATTTTAAAATTATACCTAAAGAGAAGACATATATTCAAGAAGATGGCATGGATGAAAAAATTTTCTATGCTGTTTTTCTTAAATACCAGGGATCTTTTCCAAGGAGTGGATTTTCATTCAAAGTTTTCTACCCCTCGAGCAAAACTGTTGAAGACAGGTAAGGTCACTTTTTAAAGAAAAATTACTGAGTATAGAAGAACATCTAATTTACTGTTCTTCATGCTGTCTGATAAAAACAGATATAACTTGATAGTTGTAGAGTTATTGAATAAATATAACTTGACAAAATAAATTATCACCATTATTTTGTATCACTATTAATGTCTATGTAAAATAAATGTGCTTTTATATAGATATAATAAGAAGAATGCAGGGGTAAGAGATAACTAGAACAGTAACAAAGAAGGGGTTATTGTGCTGAAGGGAACAGCTCTGACAAGGATAAGGTAATGAGACATCTTTTTGCAGAAAGGATTTCCTTTCAGACTGCACGGTGTCTGTGCTCAGAAGTAAAGGTAGCTTGTCTTTAGTTCATATTTGAAAGTGCTATAAATAAATGCAGATTTGGTAATATAGAAGCAGTTACTGTTAATGAACTGATATTGGACCAATATGGTAACAGTGGCTCATGTTACCTAGGTAGGTAAAATGTAGAAAACTTTTCTAAATACACCTTGCAGGCTATTAACTATATTTGACATAACTGAAGAGCTAATGTACACAATACTGGGATACAGTGACTTAATTTCTTAACAACAAGCTGTTCCCAATAATATCAAGCTGAACATGTTTGGGGAGGGTTCCCAATGGATCTGGAATTCTTCTAGGGCAAAATGATTCATGTATTCATAATTTTATTGGTGTAAATTATTGCCTGATTGATTTTCAAGCTCACTATAACCCCTTAAAAAGTGGATGGACATTTTTAGACCTTTGAGTTGGCTTCTGCAACTTAAGCATCTTGAGCTATCCAGTATCCTAATGTAATAGAAAAGGGAGGCAAATGATCTGTTGATGTCAGTCCTGAAAGTCCTAAATCAAATTACAAAACTATCTCAATAGAGAAATTGAAACTTAAAAAACAGAACACTCATTGTGAGCATGAATAAGTAAATATAATTCAGCCTGTTTCTGAACTTGATAATAGTAGAGTATTTCTCCTAAATACATCCACAGAGTGTCACCTAATAAACAAGATTAATGATGTCCTTTCGCTAAATACCCTAGAGAAATTGTATTTTGGCATGACTAATGATTTATTACTATACCCAAATTAAATATACTATGGGACCGCTTTAGAAAGATACAGAATTTGCCTGACAAATTGTTGAAACCAAGCAATCAAAACATGGAACACCAATTCTGTACCAGTTATTAAATCTGGACTTGAGCTTTATAATCCTAACAGTTTGGAGCCATTTTACTTAGACTACTATTAAGCAGACCCAATTGGATATTTTTCCTCACAGGTTTTTTATGTAGTGAACCTCGTACCTTTAAATAACAAGTGGCCTTAGTGTATAAATGTTGAAGTTTTTTTTTTAAAAAAACTGTGTTTTCCAGGTTTGCCTTTCCTTCCATTTGGTTTGAGAAATTGAATTTAATATAGTGGATTATTCTGTATTTTTAAATATTGTTATCTGACTTTTGAAAGTTATGTTCCAAGACAAATATATGTGTGAATAATTCAGTAAGATATATAAATAAAGTCTGTTTTGTATTATCAAGTCTTAATCCTTGATGTAATCTCAGACAAGTATATAATGGCACTTACACTTAATTCTCAGTGCAGAGGATAAAGAAGTACTCTTTAAATACTTTAAGAAAAGAAGTACAATGTTGCTTTCAAAACTGCCAATGCTGTTACAAGTAATGTTAACACTGTTTTTGTTTTAAATTTTCAGCAAACTCCATGGTCTCTAAATCTCAATCAAGAAGAATAAGCCAAAGTTTCTGGCCTTAAAATGATTGAAGTACTACAAGTGTTTCTTAAAATTTAGGATCATGACTGTAACTGCATGTTATAGCTAATATATCTTATGTATTGTTATATATCTTGTAAATACATTTCTATATAATGATGTTCATTCATGTGTCACATCTTATACTTCAAATAATTTACAAAAAAATGTTTTCTACTTCTTCTAACTTCTAACTTCCAAAATATTCAAAGCAAAAATCTATTTAACTTTCTTCTGATTAGTATTAAACAAGTAACATGAATATTTTTTAGAACAAATATACACATTTAAACAGGACTGTATATGGGAGGAAATACTGGCTTTTAAAAATGACCAAATTAAAACATCCTTATCCATGTTATGCAACCAAGATGGAACAGGAAAGATGTTAGAAACTTAAAACAATTTTTCTTTTAAATGAAAGAGGATATTGCCCAGAAGTTAGTTGTACATACCAACAGCAAGTTTCAGGAATTATTCTGATAGAAGCTTTAGAAAGCATCACACACAATGGAAGTCTTAAGTTATTTAAAAATATTAATGGCTTTGAGTACTTCTATATACTATTAAAACTCTTGTTCCCATAACCTTTAGCTGGGCGAAACAGTGCATCAAACTTTTTTATACATGGTACTTCAAATGGGCTAATTTAAAGTATGCACCCAAACTCCTGACTCCATGTGACATATGTCATAAAATATTTCCTGTGATCAACTGCTATGTTTGACTATGCTATACAGTTGTACTTTCAAGGAAGGTATATCTTTGAGTATTTCCTTGGAATTTGTAAAAAGTTTGCAATACATTAAAAGCTCTGCCACTGTTCAAAAGCATTGAGGAATGTGCTATGAAAATATCTCTGAAATGTTGACCCAGTAAGTAATGGGTTGTCTAGTAAGCTATATAAGATGTGAACAAATGTTAATCTTTTGCTGAAAAAATGCTTTCATGTTGGATTACAAGAGAAATACGATTGATGGAACTTGGGTATGATCCTCTCCAACTTATCAGCAGTTTGCTTTTGGCCATCACAACAGGTATGATAGCTGTAATGGCACACTGAGCTAAGGCATGATTACCCAGGAAAAGTTATATCTACTGCTTACAGAATTGATAACTACATCTACTTATTCTTTTTCTGTCTGAGCCCTGCGAGTATGACCACCATTGTGCCAGCCAAGGAAAAATGGTATTTGAAAGAGCAGATGCAGTAGTTGTTCTTGATACCAGCAGCTTATTTCTTGCCTTCTAGGCATATAAGGGAACTGAGGGCTGGGTCTACTCTGCTGCACTATCCCAAAAATGTTCAGGGGTAACAAAACTTAATGATGTTTGGACTCTAAGATGATTTCTTAAACTTCATAGAGACAGGAAGTTTACACCTGCTGCTGAGTTGTTTTCTTTTAGTTTGGCAGTTGTTTGGAAGGCTCCCAGTGTGTTGTCAAGTATCTACCACAACGTGGCTCTGATCCTGTTCGTTATATTTTCTGGCAAAGATCCCTTTGCCATAAAGAGGTCCAGGCTCTGAAGAGCGCTTGGTCTGTTTTGCGTCTCAAAAGGGGATGGGCTGGCATTCCGTTTACTGTGGTCGCTATGCCAACAGACCAGGCTCGCCATATTGTTAGGAATGTTTCCATGGCAACAAAAACCACGAGCGAGCGGTAACCGCCACATCGTTTGAATTCACCTCTACAGAGACCAGGACGGCTCCCTGCTCCCCTCCCTTTTTGCAACTGTCTGTCGAATCGGTCGAGCAAAGGAAACGAAGCTTCCTTTGCAGGCATGGCGGGCCATTTAGGCCTGGAGGACTTGAATCTGACTGGAGAAGAAGCTGAGCGCCTGACAAGCGCTTTCAAGGACGAGGGCTTCCGTACTCTTTTCGCGGAGTACGTGGCCGAACTGAACAATCCAGAACAAAGGGCCATTTATGAGGCCGAAGTGATAGCTATGGAGCGACAGCGGGGCGTCGAAGCCCGCTTCCTCCACCCCACGCCTGGCTGGGTCCTGCGCACGAGCCAGGCTGGTAGCCGGCGCTGTTACATCAACATCTGCAGCAACCCGCTAATAGGGAGGCCGGAGCCTCGGCCAGAGTCTGGAGGTTACTGCTGGCTTCTGCCACACTCCTTAGCGCCGGGCCGCGAGGAACTGAGCCGCAGCCAGCCGCGTGGGCCTCGCCGCCTGGTCTACGACGTCGTCTTCCACCCGCATACCCTGCGTTTGGCCGCCCGCTTAGCCCAGTTCCGCCGTCTGGTAAACGACACGGCCTTGGAGGCGGTAGAGAAAAACTTCTCCCCGCAACTGGATCGCACGAACGCCGTTCCCCTCCGCCGCATCAAGTACAAGGGCGTCCCGCAGGCCACGCTGCTCCGGACGCCGCTTGCCGCAGGAGCTCGGCCATCGCCAGAAGAGGGTGGAGAGCCAGCCGACTCTCCCTTGCCGCCTTTCCCTTCGCCCTACACCTATCCGCCGCCCAGTCCGCAGTACGAAACTCCGAGCCCCCCTCCGCCCAAGCCAGCCCCGTCTGCCACCACTCCGCAATGGACCCTCCAGCACCGCTCCTACGTGGACCTTCAGGATTATCGCAACAGCCGGGACTCCGCGCCTAGCCCGATCCCCCGCGAGCTGGTGGTGACCATTGAACTGCCGTTGCTCAGTTCTGCCGCCCAGGCCCAGCTGGAGATCCGGGGCCAGGAACTCCAGCTGGATTCGCAGCGCCCTGCGGCCTACCATCTGCGCGTCCCTTTGCCCTACGCAGTGGAGGAGAACCGTGGACGAGCCACGTTCAACAAAGCCAAGAAACAACTGGTGGTCGTGCTGCCGGTTTTGCGGAAGCCTGACGCGGGGTTGACTTTCAGCATCCAAGCTGCGCAAGAGCAAATCGAGGCCTCGCCAGAAAACGAGGAGCAGCTGCAAGAAGACAGCTGCATCAGCCCGTATATAGACGGTGCGGAAGTGTGTCAAAAGACCAGCTATTCTGAGCAGGCGCTTCCCGTTCTTGTGTCCGACGTAGAAATAACTCCGACGCTCTCTTTAGCTGTTGCTACAACAAATGATACTGTGGAGACAGGTTTAGTTTCTGACGTGAACGGCCCAGTTCCGCTCAGTGCTCACGAACGGACTGTACGTAACAATCTGGAGTTTTCGACGCGTTCGGGAGAAGAGAATTCCATTGTTTCTTGTGCTTCTGAATTTAATGCTGCACTTCCCGTGTGCAACGAGAACAATAGTGAAGGGGATCCGGGGTTGACCAGAAGCAGTAACAACGTGATCTTGGGTGCACAGCCTGAAGGTACCGGTTTAGATTCCCTTTCCCCCTCTCTGCATACTGACCAGACTTGGGAGCTCCTTACAGATCCTGTTGTTTCTTTAAATCAGGAACATCTCTGTACCGACATGGAACTTAATAAAAGTTCCAACATCGCTAATGTTGAACTCCCATTATGTCCAGATAACAGCACAATCCCGTGTATATGGTCCTCTGATAGCTTGGATCATTCGGAGACAACTTTGTCAATTGATACAGCAAACCCCACTACTTCTAACCACGTGGAACATTCTTTTTTGTACCCTGGAAAGAGAACCACTGTTTCTTCTGTTCAGCCTTCACAAAAGCTTGAAATTGCTGGCGATACTCATATAACCTCTACTTGCAGTCCTGATCCTTCAATATCTTCTGCCAGCACTCTATATCCTCCTTTTAATTGTACTCAAGATGAAAAGTCTTTGGTGATCCTCTTACAGGTTCCAGATATTGTTCCCTTGAGTCTCCAGGGGGAAGTGGGCACAAATTACTACTGGGTGAATTTTGCAAACAAAGACTCTGTTTCCTATAATTTCCTCTTGCAATTTCTTCCTGAAAATAAATTATCTTCTCCAGAAAGTGAAGTTAATGTATCACCTAATAATATTGTCATTATCCTCATCAAATCTCCTGAAACCACTGGAATTTGGACAAAGTTCTATTTTGGTTCAAATTATGATAATTTACAGGTAAATTACTTTTTAGATTTTTATATTACCTCCTATAGTCTACTGTATTTAAGTTCTTTACAATTTGGAAATATGCATGATAGTTCAAAATTCTACATGTATTTTATTTCATTCTTTCTGTACAGAATGTGGGATAGTAGATTTTATCTAATTTGCCCAGTAATTTAATTCTTTCAGCAATTGAGGTAATAAATTAGTTATTGATTTAAATTTACACTTGTTTACTATTTTGTTATCACAGTTTGAAGGTCAGCATAGCAAATGTATTCAGAAGCAAGTTTTCATAGCTGCATTTTTTAGGTTGTAGCTTTACTTGATGCAGTAAATATGTAATTGCTTAATTACTGTGCATTTCTGATATTTTTGGTAGTGGCTTGATGTCCTGTGAATGGAAGTCATAGTTAGGACTCTTTAGAAACAAGATGTATCAGAATACTGGACTATTGGAAGGGGGGATAGTTATGCCACTGCCTGGGTAAACATTGGTTTCCTGTTGCTGTTTTTCTTTTACTGCTCAGCTATGTTGATATTGTAGTTGGATATAAAGCTTATTACTTGATGGCAGTAGTTAATTCAATTTTTAATCCTAGAAAGTGATAAGGGTCTTCCTATTCATTTTCTCCCTTTTGCAGCATTATTCATTGGATATGTAATCTATAGACTTTCAATGTGGACTTTAGAAATCTAGAATATCTTCCATTTGGGACAAGGTTTTGTTACAAAGAATAATGATTTAATACATTCCTCTCTTTAGAGTAATATTCTATGGTATATTGTCTCATTCTTAACTCTTATCTGCTTTTTCTATCAAATAATCTGAACACTGAATCACTCACAAGATCACTGATAAAGGAGTTCTAGATTGTAGAAGCTCCATGTCATGGGACACCTTTTATGTAATGCTAAATTATTGCTAGCAGAAGATGCCTATGTAAAGCACCTGGCTCAAACATTCTCCCTTTTCATTATTGCCTGTGGGATGGAGCAGAAATAAAATCCCAGCTTTTGTAAAACATTCTTGGTTTCATACCATATGGAAATTAAGAATTACACTTTAAAATAAATTCTACTTTTGCCTAATGACAAAAACAATTCAGATCTTGATCTTTTTGTTCAGCAATATCTATTGTAAAATATCTATATAATATATAGACCAGTGGTGGCGAACCTATGGCACGCGTGCCAGAGGCGGCACTAGGAGCCCTCTCTGTGGGCACGCGCGCCATGCCCCGGAGATGGCAACCGTCTCTCTTCAACCAGTAGCCCGTTAACTCACTGAGGTCCCACATGGCCAGATTCATCCCAGCACCCACGCGCTTGCTGGCCTCTGTGTGCAGGGGCCAATGGTGTCAGGCAGCAGCCACCCCGGCCCCTGCCTTGACCTGCGACATGGCACCCCCGCCCTGCCTCGCCTTGCCTCGCCTCACCCCACAGAACCAGCCTCCTGCCTACCGCCCCATCTGCCAGAGACCCCTGGATCTCCTCCAACCCTGCCCGGCCCCCACAGGCGTCCCTCCCCACGAGCAACATCGGGCTGGCCACGCCCACCCATCTGCCATGACCACTGTAGCCATGCCCACCCAGCAGGCCATGCCTACCCAGCAGGCCACGCCCATCTGGCACCCGGCGAACCCCATCTGGGTTTTGGGTTGAAGTTTGGGCACTCGGTCTCTAAAAGGTTTGCCATCACTGATATAGACATATGCTCATAAAATAAAAACTAATAAGAGATTTTGTTCATTTTGGAGATAGAAACTAGATATAGAAGAAACTTGATTTTTCTTTTTGTTAGAAAATTCACTACAGAATATGAGATGTATCTCTGTAAAAAGAGAATTTTAAAGTCTAGGTAAAGCAATTGCAATTCCAGCCAATTGTCATGCAGTTAGTAGAACATCTAAGGCAGCGGTCGCCAACCTTTCTGGCTCTGTGAACTGGCAGTGGCGGCGATGGTGGAGGGGAAGGTTTTGCAAGCTCATCCGCCGCTTGTGCAGACCAGTCCCCCACAGGTCGTGGACCACTACTGGTCCACGGACTGGAGGTTGGGGACCTCTGATCTAAGGGATCTAAGTACATGGACGGCTAGTATGTAAGATATACTATAGTCATATTCAGTTGTTTACAAGCATTTAGGATTTCAAGGTTACTGACCAGCCCTTTATGTTAAGAAAATGGAGCAGCCACCAATGAAATTGTTTTAATTAATGAGATATATACTTCTGATAACTACAAGTAGTCCTCAACTTACAACCACAATTGAGCCCAAGATTTCTGTTGATAATTGAGACAGTTGCTAAGTGAATTTTGCCCCTTTTTATGACCTTTCCTGCCATAGTTTTTAAGTGAATCATTGCAGTTTTTAAATTAGTAACATGGTTGTTAAGTGAATCTGGCTTCCTCAGTGATTTTGCTTGTCAGAAGATCACAAAAGGTGGTTGCTAAAGGCTCATATGACCCAAGGACACTGCCACCGTCGTAAATATGAGTCAGTTGCCAAGTACCTGAATTTTGATCACATGACCATGGGGATGCTACAAGGATCATAAGTGTGAAAGTGAAAAATGGTCCTAAGTCACTTTTTTCAGTAATGTAACTTTGAATGGTCATTAAATGAATTTTTGTTAGTTGAGGACTACCTGTATTTTTTCCATCAGTCTAGCTGCCTCTTTGCAGACTAGTTGAGACTTCCAAAACCACATAAAAGCCATTACTATAACAGTTGCATAGAGATGTTCACATAGGTGACAGTTGCCTAATCTATGCAAACAGGTGCTACTGGCTCACCAATCAAACTTGGGAAAGATTCCCAATTTCAACCAATATTTGAATACTCAAGTTCATTATATGATAAGGAGATTCCATGGACTGAAAATTTCAGAAGGGATAATTACCCTAAGAGAGATTTCTATAAAAGACACAAAAAGATAGGTTTATAAGAATACAACCAAGTTGTTATTCTGCAACATTTGGCATGCTTCTTTGTTGTTAGGATTTCTGTTTACCTTTTCCAAAATCATTCTTATTTTTATTCTGGTATTTTATTCTGAAAGCTGGCCTGATTTTTCTCCCATTCCTTTCACATGCTGGATTTTGCCAACCACTGTGGAAAATATTTTTTTTCTTGTAATAGTAATTAGATCCATGACTTGTTGAACTTTTGTCTCATCATTCAAAATGTACCCATTAGTTGGGAAAATGTATTAATTTTTTGAGAGAGTTCTGTATAATGACAAAGTTTGCCTCTACTACTTCTGTAAATGCTGTGTGCATTGGAGAGGCAATGTAATTTTTCATCTACTCAAAGGTTACTAATTTGTTAAATGGGGTTTCAAATGTCAAGTGTCTTTCTGAATAAAAAAGATCTGTCCATTTTATTATCTTTTTAGGTACGGATCAGTGATGACAGGGAGGTACACAAAAAACTTTCTATTTCAGTATGGATCAGTGGTGACAGGGAGCTACACAAATAACTCTGGTGTTTTTATCAGAGGCTGCTGCAAAGTCATTAATTTAATGGTTTACTGAACCTATGAATTTATTACAAACATTGCCATTGATGTGAGTATTCCACAATGAAGATAAAATCACAAATAACTGTCTTTAGTTCACTGAAGTCAGGTAAGATTTTCAGCATGTGGAGCCATAGAGAGATTGAGGTAGGTCCATCCATGCCTTGTAGCTCAGTTGTGCTCATATGTCCATGCCTTTCACTGCTAGTGTTGAAACACCCAAAATTTGATTGCTTGTGTGAGATGAATAATTGTTTTATGAGTTATAGTTGACCTATACAGCTCCTACTACTATTAATTTTGTTGCCTATATCTGTTTTTCTGCCTATTAAAACTTTCCATCTATAAGGAAAAATGATTGAATTTAGAAATGCATCCTGCCCCATCAATATTACATACATTTTTGGAATATTTAATAATTTAGGGGGGAAAATCAGTGTAGTACTATTGGCTAGTATTATATCAATTCTGTCCTTCCTTTGTATAGGCATTTCCAATCTTAACTTTGGATTTATATAGTATAGAAGCTAACATGTAGAAATAAAAACAAGCAGAGATTACAAATAAGCTTCAAGTAAAGGTGCATAAAATAGAATTCCCATGAAGGAACAGGGAATGCCGGATTTGCTATCTGATGAAGCAAATGTTTGGTATCTCTTCCCAGAGGATTTGTTCTTCTAGTATAAGTAATTCAAATAGCAGCACTTTTGAGGGGTTGTTTTTGTGTGTGTGTGTGTGTGTATTAAAATACAATAGAGCCACTGAACTCGGTTAGAAAAATCTTTTTAATAATTACAACTTAGCTTTCGTCAATCCTCTGTTGACATCGTCAGAGTGGTAATCGGTGGTTAGACAAACCTGCTTATATAGCTAGATGGATGTTTAGCAATCTAGCCATGGAGCGCGTGAGTGGTCCACCCACCCTCCGCCCTCCCACAGTTAGCTGTCGTATTCCTGATTGTGCTGTATTGGCCGGTGTTCGTTTCTATTTTAATATTTTCCTCCCGCTGCCTGTCCCACCCGCCGGCTACACTCCTCCTGCTGCGCGCGGCTGCTCAGCACTGTTGCCGGATTTTCCCCCTCGGTGTCTCGTCCAGCATTCTCGTCAGATTGCCGTGTAGTCACGTCCGGTAACGATCCTCCTGTCGCGCATCCCGTCTCGATCGTGCTGGTCTGCAGTCCTTCCCTCAATCCTGCAAAGGGCTGTGCTAATGTCCCCCTTTCTCTGCTTACTGTGCCCTCCTGCCTTTCTATGGGTAAACGTCCTGAATTTTCAGAATTTCCATTCCTGCGGTGCGGAGGTGGTAAAAAATTCGCTCGCTTTGCTGCCCTGCGCAGCTGTTCATGCTTTCTCAACATTTGGTAGGCTGGCAGCAGCTCTACATGCCGGTTGATCGAATGTTCCTCCGATAGCCAAGCCTCTTTCAATAGGCGGCCACCTTTCGTGAAGTCCTGGGCGATGACCTCAGCCCCCGCAAAATTAAATATATGGCAAGGACTTCACGAAAGGTGAATTTAACACACACGTGTATATACTTATATACGTATAAGCTGCCATGAGTGCTCTAACAAAACAGACTAAGTGAATTGTATAAATTAACAAATAGATTTTCTGAAAATAACTATTTTACATAGTCAATTTGACATAATGCAATAGATAATTCTACTTACGACTGAAATTGCCAATTTTATTGAACATGTATTTGTTATATATAGTTTGTTCAAAATCTTATTTTGATTGATTGGTACCGGTATAATAGATTGAGATTTAATGGTAGCATCTGAAATACTTTTTGAACACTGCAAATAATTCTAATTCTCATTTGAGAATATTAATCTAGATGGTTATATCTTGCTTCATTATAACTGGCATTATGTTGATATTAGTGTATTTTCAGCCTGCATGGGAAAGCGAGTTTATTTCTTCATGCAGAAATCATAGTACAGGTTGTCCACAACTTAAAACAGTTCATTTAGTTTGTTAATATACACTGCCTTGAGTTATTTATAAAAATAATAAAGCCAAGATATAAATCTTTAAAAATGATTAGTCTTAATGAAACAAACTAACATTGCCAGTTAGGCCTTTTTAATATCAATGCTAAACCATAATTGTTCAGCCATGGATTATTGAATGGATTCACACAAGATGGCTAGTAATAAATTATAGTTTAAAAATCATAGTACTGAGTACTGTAAGTTAAATATAGTGAAGGTTAATTTTGAATAAATAAATTTGATAGATTATTGTTTTAGTGATATTGGTTGTTTTTTAAAATCCCAATCAAACTAATAGCAAAAAAAATCTGACTCATTAAAGAAAAAAAAAGTGGAAGTAAATATAGGTGAACGGTAAAAATCAGAAAAACATGCAGTTCCTACTAATTATTTTTCAATTGCTGGTGAATATGTCTCAAATTGTTGACCTTTGAATATTTATTATTTATGTAGGAGTTACATTTATAATCTGTCTTTTGTTCGGGAACTGAAGATTGCAATTTGCTATATGGTCTGCACTTTTATTGCCCATTAAGTTAATGAGTCTGCAGCAAAACGAATATATGAATGGAAATTGAATGGGTCAAGAATTACTATGTCTAGCTGATGGTTACACTCAACAAGTCAGAAGTAAAGAGTTTAGAGAACAAAAGCTAGTCTATGAGGCAGTTTATGAATGTCATAGAACCAACATGAATTTACTAGGACAGAAAGATATGGAGCAAAAGTGAATGCTTTTTTATCTCTTGCCTAGTGTTTTTTTTTCCTCTTTTTTTAGTAAACATTAATTATTCCAAAAAGAATAGCATTATAGATACATACTATATGTACATACTATTTGAAAATATGAATGTTAGGATTAAAACCTGAACAATTTATTGCGAAGGTTACCAAGCATGTGTTTATTTTGATATATCATAAGAATCTTGAATAAATAGCAGATAATTTTTGGAACAATCTATTTTCTTTAAAATGTTGCTGCCTTAACTACTGTCAAAACAGAGCCGCATTGTGGAAGAGCCACTAATATTTAAGGGACACCCCCCCCCATCCCTTTTCTTGTTTAGAACATGTGTATCAGAGAAATTGCTGGCCTCTTGATCAAGCTGTTAAAAGCTTTTTCTGGGGTTGCCTCTTGGGGCTATTATCATTTTAACCAGTGCTAGTGCCTCTGGGAAATTTCTACTACACCCCCCCTTCATTTTGCATTGCTTGGAAGAGTTGAATTTTTGTGTCAAGACTGACAAAAGCCCTTGAGATCTCCAGATCCTCATTGTTTTTCAACCTGCTGTTTTAATTTGACAGTGAAGGGATTTTCCCTTAAATTAAATCCCATTATATGTCCTAATTTTAAATGCCTGCAATCTCCTCAGGAGAAACATTTAATTTGGTACTGGATAAAGGCTAATGCAATTCTTGGTTGCATTAGAAAATCACTGTATCAAAGATACTTGTGATCATACCTGTATATAGTTCTGGACACCCCACTTCCAAAAGGATATTGATCGGTCAGAAGAGGGTGATGCATTGAGGATATGTTCTTTGAGAACAAACTGAAGGAATATGGGATATTTAGTCTGAGGAAAAGACTAAGGGGAAATGTGATATTGTCACATCTGTGTTCAGAATAGGAAGCTGTGTTGGATGCACTTGCTGCCTTATTTGTAAAAATAATAAAGGCAGGATACAAATAAATCCAGCATTTTTAGCATCAAGATGTAATGATGGGGAAAAGTAGAGCAACTATATATATTTCTGACAAAGGTTGCATAGTCAGTCTAGAACAGTGATGGCGAACCTTTTAGAGACCGAGTGCCCAAAAACTGGCACTCCCCTGCCCCGTCCCCGCTCTGCCCCCCATCCCCCGCTCCGCCTGCCCACAGGACCACTCACCACCTCCAGGGCCCACCGCAGATCCCCCAGGCAGCCCAGCAGCGCTATGGAGGTCACGCCCTCTGCCCGCGCCCTGCAGCATCAACTGCATCATGGGGTGTGAGGGCAGAGTCTTGTCTATGCTGCCTGGCTGCCATGTCCTTGCTGCGCTGCTCCGTGTGGGCCACGCTCGAGGACGACTCTCCTTCAGGGGGGCTGCTGGAGAGAAGGGGTCACGGGGGGAGGCAAGGCTGGAGCAATGGCACGTGTGCCCACAGAGAGGGCTCTGAGTGGCATATCTGGCACCCGTGCCTTAGGTTCGCCACCACTGGTCTAGAACTTGGTTTTTTTTGCAGCACTGTGCTACCAGCATCCACAATCTTTTGTGTATGCTTGAACCAATTTCTGCTTGAAGTATTTGTAATAATTTACTGCTGATGCATGTACAGTAAATAAACCAATGCATTAAAAAACAGTATTCCAAAAGTTATAAAATCTACACAAATAAGAACATTCTTTTTTGAACAACATAAAACCTTAAAGACACACATATTCCATGCTGCTTCTTTCTGTTACTTAATAAATAGATTCTACTTCCATATTTTTTACTATTTTTAAGCAATATTATATGCTAACCTATGGAAAAAAATTCATATTTTAAGATGGCTACAAAAATATTCTTGAGAATTGAAGCTAGAACTGAACTGGTGTTATACTTTTATGTGGTTGTTTAGCATTTTCCATTGGAAAGGTGATCAAAATCTTGCCTATATGACAGAGAAGTTCTTTGCAAAGAAATGGCTTCTGAAACTGCTTTAAAAAACATCATTATAGAGCTAACAACCTTATTTTATTTTTGGAAGTTACTTTTTTTAAGCCATACAGTCATAATTTCAGTATAATATTCTGGTACATGTTCCATTCATTAATATATAATGTCCACAGTTTTTTTCTCAGAGTGCTATTGTATTATCTGATTTCATTTACAGTATATGGCTTAAGAGCTCAAAGCACCTTACAGTGTGCTCCCGCTTTTATTCCCCCCCCAAAAAATCTTGTGAGTTAGGCTGGGCTGGGGGGGGTTGCCCAAAGTCCCCCAGTGAATTTTTGTGGGTGAAGGTTGGCTCCTTGGTGACAGTTCAGCTCCTTGACTACTGCACCATCCTTGCCCTTTGCTGTTCCCATTTGTCATTCCTTTCCTTTTTACAAAAGACAGTGCAATTGGATGCTTTCAGAGCATGCCTTCCCAATTTGGTGTCAAAGATTATGTTAAGAGTTGTAATCCTTCACATCTGGAGAGCAGCAGATTAAAGAAGCTGCTTCAGAATGTATGGCAATTGTGTGTGTGGGGGGGGAATATTGGGTCCTTTTTTCCTCAAAGGCTCCCTGCATCATGAAAGTCTCCTTGAAGAAAAAGAAAAAAAGAAACTCTTGTGGTGTCTTCAGAACTAATGTTTTTACTTTGAAATAAAATTTAAATCCTTCCATGTTTGTTTTACCTTTAGGAAAGATGGTTTATCACTGAAAACAATGTTGATAGGTTTGTCAGTCACCCAGGGATATGCTGCTCCAGTCCATCGGAGAAAGAACACAAGCCATTAATTGAAGTACTGGATGTCTCTGAGGGCAAAAGCCAGATCAGATTAAAGGTAAATGGTTATTCAGCATATGTCTGTTACCTGTTTCTAAAACTTGAGAGGATCTATCACTATGGTTACCCTCACCAGTCCTGATTAATGTTCTTGAGGGCTTATTCTTTGTATGAACAGTGATTTGGAAAGTAGAATACTGTGCAGTATGCATTGTTCAAAAATAAAGCATCTAGGGTTGTTGCAGCAGCACTTTGGATTCAAATGGGTAAAAGATGTTTCAGAACACATATTGGCTATCAACAACTTCTTAAAGCAATTCTATATTTTCTTGGCATTATGTGGCTGCCCTATACAGTTGTGCACACTTAAAAAGGTGAATTTGGTTTATGGAAGAGTCAATTTGTGCTACGTACATATCCATGCATATGTTGCATTGGCCTAATACAGTGGTTCTCAACCTTTTTAATGCTGCGACCCCAACCGGTCGTAAGTCGAGGACTAAACCGGTCGTAAGTCGAGGACTAAACCGGTCGTAAGTCGAGGACTACCCAACCGGTCGTAAGTCAAGGACTTTCCCTGCCCGGGAGCGCCGCGCATGCGTGGTTCCGCCCCCTGCGCCGGCCGAGGCGTAGCTGGCAAGCGGCAGCAGGCCAACCACCAGCTGGCCCAGCCCAAGGGAGGTAAGGCATCCGCCGGAAAAGGGGAAAAAATGGCGGACAAAAAAATGGCGGACAAAAAAAATGGCGGACAGCCTTGCTTGGCGACCCCCATGAAATGGTCGATCGACCCCAAATGGGGTCCCGACCCACAGGTTGAGAACCACTGGCCTAATAAGAAATGACTGACCATCTCCCTTTTCTTTGCTAAATTAAATTCATTACATCTTCCCAAACAAGAATGCATATGCTATGTACTGTATAGATTTTAGTTTGTGACAGGATATATGTGTAAATTCTGTAGATAGACAATATTTTGAAGAAAATCGTAAGGTGAATAATAGAATATTGATGTGAGATTTATTTGTAGAGTAAAATTCAAAATGCTAATAAAAAGAAAGCAAGGTTACTGGGACTGATTATTTATTTTAGAGTTCCTTCTAAATTATGATTAATTACTTGAGTATCAAGATATCTCAAAATAGTTACACTGCATGTGTTCTCTTGCTAGACTTCTCCTAGGCCTGCCAATATAGATTGAATTTTGTATGATACTGAAGATATATTTGCAGGTTTTATTTAGATTTTCCTTATGTTAGCCAGTTTTTATCTTAAATCAGACTGGGAAAGTCCAGAGTGCATTTTGGGCTTTGCTCCTTGGCTGAGACTAGTGTAGAATAGTCTACACTGCAGTAAGCAAAAAAATGTAAGGACAGCAAACAACTACATTTGAATCCTAGCTCTACTTTTATTTTGAGAATGCTTCAGATTCTACTATTATATATTATTGTTTCACAACTATTATATTGTATTTACTTTTTCATCATTTATAAATTATGCTGCCTTTATATCTTGCCAGCCAAAATCCATTGTAGCAAAAGTTCTAGCTCTTATTGTACTAGGCTGGAATTATCTATTCAGATAATCACATGAGGCTCGTTGCTTAATTATTATTATGGTTGTTGCCATATTGTTTTAGATCAGCAGTCCCCAACCTTTCCAGTTTAGTGGCCTGGCCTGGCATGTGTGTGTGTGTGTGTGTGTGTGTGTGTATGTGTGTATGTGTGAGTGGCAGGTGCATGCACACACAACTCCATTTGTGCAGTCGCATGCGCGTGTCCTCCATTCACATGGAGCTTCGCACGCAAATGGAAGGTGCTTACACTCATGTGTGAAGCTCCACTTGTGCGAGTGGAGCTTAAATCTGAAATGCTGGGAGTGTGCAGTGGTTCGTGGTTAAAGACACCAAGCTTGTCAGCTGGGAACTGACAGCCTGGATCAATGGGGTGAGCTCCCATCACTTGTCCCAGCTCCTGTCCACCTAGTAGTTCAAAAGCATGCAGATGTGAGTAGCTAGATACCACTTGAGTGGGAAGGTAACAGTGTTCTGTGCACCTTGGCATATAGTCATACTGGCCACATGACCACAAGATGTAATGTCTTGGCTCTCTTGGCCAAGAAATGGAGATGAGCACTGCCCCCTAGAGTTAGACATGACTGGACAGGAAAACCTTTACCTAAGGCTGAAATATTTCAAGTAATACAACTTGATTTGACTGATAGGCATTTGAATGTAGTCTTGAAGAACATTGTTGGGTGAGAATAATTAATTTATATCTTGGTAAATTGGAGTTTGAGAATTTAGAAGCAAATTTGTTCATCTTTCTCTTCCCAGTCATACTCCTCACAAGCATTTGAAGATATCAAATTTCTCATAGAGCTAGGCTATCAATAAGACCATTTAATATTTAAATAATTAACAAAGTAGAACCAACTGGCACATCCAAAATGGTATAGGGTTTCCTGCCTGAGCAGGGGGTTGGACTAGATGACCTCCAAGGTCCCTTCCAACTTTATCATCATCATCATCATCATCATCATCATCATCATCATCATCATCATCATCATCATCATTATTACAGAGGCTGAAAGACCAAACAGATCAACTACTTCTTCATTTAGAATCATAACATTTCTCCAGGAACAAACATTTCTCCAAGCCCATATGGTGCTGAGGCATTGAGTAAGCAGAAGGCATTTTGCATACATTAATCATGAATCTTTTTGCTAAATACACACTAACCACCTGTCTGATATAATGCAGCATTGCTGCTAAGGAAGCCCCCATTGCTTTGGTAATTATATTCTGCTGTCAGGATTAGGAAACTCTGATCTAACTCAAAGGATTAGGAGAGTTAAGAAACTCTCCAACTATGTTTACAGGAAGTATAGCAAGAAGATAGGAGCACACATGTTTGTGTGATAGGGCCAGGCAAGGAGGAAATGCAAGTTGTTCTTGTTTGGTTAATGAGCTTGTTTATTAGGTTGAAACAGTGAAATGCTTTCTGTCTCTTCTACTCAACAGATAGAGAATGGTAGCCTTGAACCTGGCAGAAGAGAAAAAAGAGAGGGCAGTGAACAAGAACATGGCAGCAAACTTTTAACAGATGAAGAAAATTGCTCTGAACAAATCAAGAGTGTTTCAGGTTCATTTGCAACTATGCAGACAATGGGGGAAGTTGGCAAGGGATCAAGCTATTGTAAGGAGCTTGACCCTAGTGATCCCAGTGGGAGGATTCTGGGGAAGTTGCAGATAGATAAATTACATGAGTCAGGACTTTCTTTTGCAACAGGCAAAAGAGCCACGTCCTCAGTGCAAACTGAGCTTCAGGAGGGAGAGGAAGTGAATGAACATAAGGTGTCCTCACAGAACAAAGAAGAGTTAAACAGGTTAGCTCCCACTCCATTAAAGGAAACTAATATGCAAGATGGTAGTGTGGAGTATACAAGCTGTCACAGAACACAGTGTGCAGTCACCTTTGAAAATGCTTTGCTGTATGAACTGGATTAAATCAGTTTTGTAAGGTTCTTACCGAGTCTTCAGCTACCTCAAATTCTGCATTTACTTGTGAAGTGTACAAAAAGTCAGAGTTATACGGAAATTGAAATTCAACTGATGGAAGAAAAAAGGAATAGAAACTGCTTGTTCTAAGCCTTCATTTAGTTCAAAGATTTGAATGTCAGTAATTTATTACTGAATTTCAAAAATAAATAGGCAGTTCATTAAAGCAATACAGATTTCTCAGGCAAATCCTGGTCTAAATTAGATAACACAAGTTATAAAAGCTTGCAGAATCTGCAAACAATCTGCAAACACCTTGGCTTATAAGTAAACTATAAAACTATGTTTTTTGCGCAAACATGTAACTCCCTTATGAGCCATGGTTAATTGGGAAGACTGGATATAAAATTTCTGAGACGATTGTCTGAAAGGAATATAACTACACAGACCATTCGCATCTGCAAAATCTAATTCTGATGGTTTCCAGCTCTTTATTTTTAACATCCCCTTCTGTTTTCTCCAGTTTTCAGCCAAATGACAAATAATAACCCAGTAAACATTCTCCCCAAAATAGACGACATTTCATACAAAAACTTTGCTGTTAGAATTGCTTTCAAATGTGTATTTGCACAGCTTGCGAGTTCTCGTGCTATTTTTGCACCCTATAGGAGGCAAGAGAATAAAGGTTATTAACAATTAATTGCTGTATGGTTTGAAAACCTTTTCAGTCTTTCAGGAGCCTTTTTAATGTCACATTGGGGAAATTCTTCCACTGGTATGAAAAAGTGGTAACTGTAAAATGAAACCATTGAAACCAAATTGATTTTTTTTGTAAAGTGGCTAGGATTCTAATGCTTCCAGATTGTCAATTTTATTTACTTAAATTTTCAAAGAATTAATTTCAGAGCTTAATTTAAAAACATTTTGTAAGCATTGTCCTATTTTGTCGCAGCAACCATAGCAGGCTGAACCTTTTTTTGTTAAGTCAACAAGTAATGTCATTAAATAATCATCAGAAGACTTACCTATGCAAACAATAAGCTAGGTACCTCCATAAAAATATATTTTTAGATAATATATATTTGAAATTATGTTATCCTTTTGAATATGCAGATCACATTAAAACTGTCTTATTGAAATCCAGTTAAATTATCATAATATCAAAAACTACACAGTACGCTATAACAGAGAACTGTTCTAAATGTCAACTTAATTAAATTTCCTTGCTTAAGCCAACTTTTAATTATGCCCTAGAATTATCCATTAGGTGGAAAATGGCCTTTAGTGCTGTTGATTATTTGCTGGAAATTAGCAAGAGACATCACAAGTGCACGAAGCAAACACTACAAAGTCAAGATTAAAGGTTCCATGAAGTAAATGAACTTTCATCTGTGATTTACGTGGTTCCTAGCTGTGCTTAGTTTTAATTGGATTGTTCCATTTTGCAGACAATACAGACCAGAATTTTAACAAAACTCCCTTCTAAGTAAGAATGATTTAAATTAGTGTGCAGTCTTTCATCCATTTAACTTAAAAAAGTTCTGTCTGCATATTCAAATGAAATTATAAGAGATTTTATAAAATCTAATAAATCCTTTTGTAATCTTAAAAATATATTTTAGAAAAGCAAAAAAACAAGATACAGGTTTTGTAGTTTTTTTTGTTAATTCCTCCTAGTTTAATACACACCTGGATGTCATTTTTAAAATATAATTTATCAAAAATGTATTTATAAGATTAAGGTAGTTGTCCCAATTGTTTCTGTTGTCTGTACTTTTGCTGGAATTTGGACAAGCAATACATTTTGGATTTTTTCATTAAAAACAAAGGATGTATTTTAGAAGGTTTGTTAGCATAATGAACTTTTATGTGGGTTGCTTAGAAGAAATTTGAGACAAATTCTACTGTAGAGCTGAGCATATAGTTTAATTAAGTTGTGACTGTTTCCACAAGCAATGTTTTTTTTAGGGTATTAAGCCCAAAACTTATAGAGGTATTTTAGAATGTTCTGATTTTTTTTCTAACATTCAAATTCTATACTCAATGCTCTATAATTATATTAGGCTGCCAAATCTGAAAGTTAAACTGTTTCTATATGAATTAAATAGTATATTTTTAAAAAGAGCAGTTTACATGTCTTACTTTTAGCACTGCATTATGCTAACATTACTGTATCAAAATGTTTAATTTGTGATATTTAAAATCAAATAAAATTGATCCTATCAAACCATTGAAGTTTGTATTACAAAAACATGATTTTTTATTTTGGCATAATTAAAAAAGCTGCATAATTTTACATTAAAAGAAACCAATCTCAATTTTTCTCATATAAGCACACAGAAAATAAGATAATGCTTTTTGCAAATATTAAGGTATCAAATTTCAAGCAAGCCTGTAAAAGGTTATGGAAATGGAATACTGAGTGAGCAGAAGATCAAACTGTAAGGATAAAGAGGGGGAAAGAGTAAGTTACAAAATAAACTAAAAGCTAATTTTTGAAAAGTCAAGGACATTGATAGCAAAGGATTGACAGGGCCTCCATAGAAACAACTGCATCTACGATCTTTATCTTTGTTAAAAAAACAAGTTTGAAGATATTGAGAATACCTTATAAAAGGGACTAGATCTGTAGTAAAAAAAGAGACCTCTGTTATTTCCAGTAAACAAGTAGACATTTATAGTTTTTATTTTGAGCATTGCTCCACATAATTATTCAGTGTCCAAAATTAATTACCAAATGACATCTTCTGTAATCATTGCTGTCCATGTTAAACTAGAAGCAAATTCCAAATATTTTATGTTTGCGTATTTAAAAGACTAGTCAGTCCAACAGAGACAAAGACTCAATATTCCTTCTTTCACTGTAATCTTCGGTAACTTTTACAGAGTTCGTGGTCCCGAATATCACCCCAACCCCCGTTTTTCACATGGGGGCTCAAATGGGTCATTGAGTACCGCTTGCTAATAGTTATGGTTTCAGGAAATAAGTATTGTTGATTGCTACTTAAGAGCGAGTCAATTTTGGCACTCTGAACAGACGGCTGGCAAGATTTTTTGTGGTGCATGCCACAGTCACCAGTGTGGAAGATTCGAGGGATCTCTGGAACCAGCACCTTCCAGAAATGAGGAAGGCATCCTACAGTCAAATGCTGAAGAGTCCAGTCCCAGTTGTAATCATCATAGGTGCAGAAGGCATCAGTGCAGCCAATCAGTTGCTGGTACGTGTCCCTAGCAAACACCATGCCCATGTTGTGCTCTGTGGACTTCCATGTCTTCAATTCCACCTTGTCAGCCCGGCCAGCAAAGCTGCCGCGCACAGTGGCATAAGTGCCCAAGGACAGCAACTGGCACTCAGGGCAGTCACGCTGTCTCAGGGCCCAGAGGCGTTGCAGAACATGGAAGAAATCAGGGGCCAGGTAGTGGTCCTCCTCCAAGAAGACCACCAAGCCCGGGTGTTCCCGCAGAGCACGCACCCTCTCCCACACAAAGTGAAGCTTCCACCACCAGTGGTGTTTGGTTTGGGTGAAACTAGACTCACGGTAATGGCCAAAGGCATCGGGGTAGTGAGCGTTGAGGCAGCTCATTCGCAGCGCTGCCGCTTGGCCCACGTCGCGTGGACAATCGCGTGGGTCCGTGCCTGGGAATTCGCCCGGATAGAGCTGCAAGCTGAACGGAAAGAAAATCTGCAGGACCGCGCAGAAGTCCACGGAAGAAGCCAGCGCATTCAACTCGGCGGACCACACGTCATGGCTAAGCACGAGGAGCACTTTTTCCACGCCTGGCGCGCGTCGTAGCGAGTCCAACAGGATCCGGAGGTGCTCGATGCGCTCATGCACCTGCACCACCAGCGCCACGGCCACCTCTCCGGGACCGGCGCCGCCGGGCCGCCAACGCGCCTCGTTGCGAATCGGCTGGTCGAAGTTGAGTCGGTACACCAGAGACCGGTAGTGCAGGGTGCGATTCAGCCCCGGCGCTTCTTCCCGCGATATCCAAGACGAATTTGAGTGACGCCCGTTAACTGGAAGGCTGTTGGTGGTAACCGCCGGTGGCAACGGTCGATCTCCCAGGAGCGGCGGCGGAGACGCGGTTTCTTCCCGTTTGCTGCCGCTGCCGCCGCCGGCCTCGCTTGTTGCTCCCCAAAGCACTAAGGCACAGGCGGCGGCGCCCAAGACCAGCAGCAGCGCCACCACTTTGCGCTTGTAGATGCGGAGTCTCATGGTCCGGGAGGTTCCGGTTCTCCTGTTCCTTCCTCGTTCCTCACTTGTGGTGGCTTCGAGCCGCGCCTGGCGCGCCCCCCGGCCCCTTGGCGCGCATCAGCGGAACAATCGAGCACCCCGGGGCTCTCGCATGCCCGCCTGCTCGGGCCGCTGCCGTCGCGCGCGCATCCTCTCCCTCGTTTTCTTGGCCGGACACGAAAGAGGCGGCTCAGCCGGATGAAAAGCAAGCGAAGGAGGGACCCGACCGGCTCCGCCCCGGACGCACCAGCCGGCCACGCTACCTCCGTCGGGGCTGCAGCAACCCCAGGACCTCCCTCTCCAGGCGCAGCTTCCGGATCCGGACTACCGCTTTGTTCGTTGGAGAGGCCGTGATCTGGACTGAGCGTTTTCTATACGGCAAGAGGCGCTCTTGGAAAAAAGGAGCCGCTTCGCACTGACGCTCCCGAAATGAATCTGATTGGTAGGAGGCAAAAAGGACAAATATTCTGCTGCCCAAATTTTCTGGGACTTTAAATAACTTTTACTGATGCAATAGAAGACAATAGTTGTAGCTCAGGATTGAACTGTGGGGTTCCTTCGTGTTCTCTGAACTTGGTTGTTTTCTTACAGACGGTCACCTAGTTATTATTTATTATTATTATTATTATTATTATTATTATTATTATTATTATTATTGGGTAATGAAACCGCTGCAAAAGAACAAGCAAGCTCAGGGAGCACCAAGGATCCCCCCAAACTTTCATTGTTTCCGTAGACAATGGACAACTATTCTCTCCAGTCAGGTTTTTTAACTATCCTAGCTTATTGGCCATACAGTACGAGTATAGGCAAGACCTGAAAGATCAAGTTAGGAACAGATCATCCTGAGAGTTGACAATGACTTCATAGTCCATAATCTGTTAATCATGTGTACAGAATAAATGTGCTCTGGGCCACCAAAGATAACTGCTGGAGAACTAGAGAGAACATTTTTTCATTTCCTACCTGCTCCTTCTTGAAATGCAGTCAACTCCCTCACAATTCATATTTCTCTTTGTCAGCTCATCTTTACCCCAAAGCATAACAATGATGTTTTACATAAGCTATATCCATGATGTTTTTAGCACATAGAACAGGGGTCCTCAACCTTGGCAACTTTAAGACTTGTGGACTTCACCTCCCAGAATTCTGGCTGAGGAATTCTGGGTGTTGAAGTCCACAAGTCTTAAAGTTGAGGACCCCCGACATAGAATATGTGTGTGAGGTAAAATGTGCTGAGAGAGACTGGCTCAAAGTCACCCAGCTAGTTTTTCTTGCCTAAGGTGGGACTAGAAATCAGTTTCCTGGTTTCTAGATTTTTAAAATATTAAAGTTAAGTGTTATTTCCTGTCGCAATAAGAGGACTTCAGTATTTTTCTCTTGAGACTGGAAACAAACTTCTAGATTCAGGGTGTATTTAAAGAACTGTGTTTTATTCTAAGCACAATTTCATCTGTCCTGGTAATAAATTTTGTCATACCAATTTTAAAATCTCAATTGATGTCTGGAAATTATTGTCTACAACATCATAAAAACATTAAATTGTATTTTTAGTCAATAAATTATTGCATACAAACTAGTATGTAAAGTGATCTTTATAGTAAACAGCTTTAAAAATACTATCCTTTTGAATCAAAGTGTTTGTAAATATGATTGGGTACACTGATGTTACAAACTTTCCTTTGATAGGCATATATAGATTGCACAAAGTGCATTTATTTTTAAAAATGAATACCAAATATTGTCATCAATTCAGTGCTTCTCCTTTTCAAAGAATAGTTTATAAATTTAAGAATTTTTCAAAAATGATTGCAAATTCTGCATTCAAAAGACTGCATGTTTTACAGCTTCTCTGAAATAACTGTTTACCCAGAATAAAATTACTAATGATTTTATAAAAATAATACTAAAATAAGAGTAGAAAAGGATTTTTTCCCTAGTTGAGAGCTCTGGCTATACCATTCACAGCATTAAACAGGAGTTAGGAAGGAACTTGCACCTGGAATCAGAGATAATATCTAACACTTAAAGTGTTTAAACACTTTAAGCAGCTTTCAGATAATAAAAAAGATGGTTTACAGATGAGGAGCCTTGTTCCAGCATATTGTTTCCTTTTCTTCCAGTACAAAACAGAATTTAGCATTTGCTGAATAAAACTTGTCAGATTATATAACCTGATCACCTCACACTTTGCAGATGTCTGTCCAGAAACTGAGAATAGCATGTGAGAGAGCAGAAATAGCAAAGAATGGGGGCCTCGGTGCCTCCCATATTATCCACAAGAACAACTGTGTGTGCCACACTGTGCAGATTCATAGTCACTGTTGTTTGAATGAAGCAGGTCAAGCAAGCCCGTCCACACTGACAAGTTTTTGACATGTCAAGATCATCACAAAGGTGATAAGGAAGAATGTGGCAATCGCGTGGGATCCTACAAAAAAGAAAATGGCATTCATATTAGTTAGTTCCCTAAAAAATTGGTCAAATAATGAGGCTGCCCTGAAAGAAGGGGCATACCAAGAATAGCAAACAATTGAAATTATAATATAGGTAGTCCTTGACTTACAACCATTAGTTTAATGATCTTTCAAAGTTTCAATGGCACTGAAAAAAGTGATTTATGGCCATTTTTCACATTTACGACCACTGCAGCATCCCCAAAGTCACATAATCAAGATTTGGATGCTTGGCAACTAGTTCATATTTATGATAGTTGCAGTGTCCCAGAGTCACCTTTTGCAACCTTCTGACAACCAGCCAATGGGGAAGCCAAGTTCACTTAACAACCATGTTACTAACTAAATAAATGTGTCAAGAAAACTCACTTAACTGTCTTGTTTAGCAAACGAAATTTTGGGCTCAATTGTGGTCATAAGTCGAGGACTACCTGTACATAAAATTATATGGAGCTACAACCTCAACAAAGCTCTCATTTGCAACATGGAAATGAACACAGGCCTATCTTGCCATTGCATGAGACAAAATTGCATAATTTGACCATTTTCAGTGAGGAAATGCAATATGAGCACTTGTATTGTGCTTATTAACCATCTAAATTATTTTGGAATATTGGTTTGACTGACTTGATTTTATTCGGTGTCTCAGTGGCTTAATGACTTTGAAGATGGTCTTTCCACCAGCTGTTCCAAACCCCAGCACTGCATGGCATGATGAGCTCCCATCACTCATCTCAGCTTCTGCACACCCCCCCCCCCAGTTCAAACGCACGTTCTATGTGAGTAAACCACTTCAGTGGGAAGAAGAGCTGGTGCTTTGTGTGGGTGGTCACATTCCTGCCAGCTCTGAACCTACTACTAATCTGAATTAGCATTGTAGTCTCCTGGCTAGTATAACAGTACCATATATGCTAATAAAGAGTATGTTATAATTAAGCTTTTCAATCAAATATTTCCAATATTCTCAGACTAATATATGTACCTGAGCACCAGTATAAGTCAATATCTTGCTCTGTGACTCTATATGTAAAGCATATATTTGTCTCCCCCTTGTGCAACTGAACCCACTCCATAGCTCTTGTAGCCCATAGCAAACAAACCAAAAAACTTCCCCATCATGCTTCTCATGATTCCTCTGGCCAATTAACATTTTAAACTAGGAAATTGAGAAAATGGTTTAAACTAGAGCCTGCCTCTTTTACCTGTAATTGATGATTGTCCTTGCAGAATATTCTAGTAAAGTCAGTGGTATTTGTAAGTGTATATCAGGAACAAGTGGCTTCGGCTGCTCAAAAGGATTGCCAAATAAATCCAGGCTCTCAAGTGAGAGTTTAGCAAATTCACTGGGCAAAAATGGGAGTTTATTACGAGCCACAGACAAGAAGCGGAGATGCGACAACTGACCAATCTTGAATGGCAATCTAATCAGATTATTATCATCTAACTTCAAATGTATGAGTTTCTGCAAGTAGCAAAACTGTGCAGGCAGCGCTTTGATTTTATTCTGGCTGAGATCCAGAGACTGAAGTGATTTTTTGAGAGTGGATTTGCATAGAGCCACATTGAATGACTCCAAGTGATTGTCCTGTAGATTGAGCTCCTGAAGGCAAACAAGGTCCCCAATAGTTGCTGGGAGCTGTTTAATACTATTGTGGCTCAAGTCCAGTTTTCGAAGGCTTCTTAGGCAAAGCATACGCATGTCTAGACGAGCTAATTTGCAATAGGAGGCTTGGAGATACTCCAGAGAGTATGGGAAATTCCGAGTTAAAGGATAATCCTTTTTTGATGTTATGGTCATCTTGGTTTTTGGTTTTTCAACTTCAGAGGCCTTTGGTGATATCAGCTTAGAAAGTGGTAAAGTTTCCTCTTTGGTGCCTTGATGAGCTAATTTCACTGCACAAAGGAAAGTCCTCAGTTGACTGACATTTGCCTGCACAGAAAACGATGCACAAAGATAAGCAACATGTATAATTCACTGGGGTTTTTCTTTGGGACAAATACATAATTTTCTAAATGATTAAATAAATGCACTGAGGCAGCAAGAAGTTATTCCCTTTCTTGGAAAGCAAGAGAAAACACAGCAATTTGTAGGGCATTATTTTGATTACAATAATCAAACAGTATTGTCACAGTAGCTTGAAAAAAACAAAACTGATCCCATAATTGAGAGATAAAAATCCTAAACACATACTGATACAAAAGACACCCTCCACAAAGATCTATTCAAAGATATAATCATTGTTTCAGCTTTTATTATACTTGAACTTCTGAATGCTTTTATGTACAATCATTAAAACACCTTTAAAACACATTGAAAAGTAGAATTTTTTTATTTATATTTTACCTCATACCTAAAGCATGGCAAGTGAAAACAGCAGCTATTATCACTACTAGTGAAAGGTACTATAGCCTTTAATCTGTTCATTACTTTCAAAGAGATATATAGATATGCACTACAGATTAGAAGTTCAAAAGCTGCCAACTGTAATTTCTTACGTTTGGAATGTCTGAAAATACATTAGTGAACTTTTTTTCTTGCTGCCTCCAAACTACTGTATACAGGTAATCCCCGAGTTATGAGCGTTCACTTAACACTCGTTCAAAGTTATGTGATGAGCACCCCCCTAGTGCTTACGAGCAAGTCCCGAAGTTACAAATACGGCAAGTCTTTTGCCCTTACTTACGAGTGACCACAATGGCTCTGCAACATTCACTCTGGTTATTCCCTCCCTTCCCGTCCCCGCCCCAGGTCTGCCTAGGCACCAGGCCTTCAATACTCACCCTACGAAGATCGAGATCCTTCGCTTTCTTGGCTGCTCCAGATGTTCAGTGCGTCCGCAGAGAATGGAGGCCTAAAGTAACGCAAGATCACACGAGATCAGTGGGACGAGATCTCATGCTACTGATCTCGTGTGATCTCATGGTACTTTTGGCCTCTGTTCTCTACAACTTAGAACGGAACCAAAGCTGGGGGACGCTTCCACGTGCCTCTGGAGGCGTTTTCCAGGTAGGTGCCACCCAGATCTAAGGCCAGGGAATTTTTCTGTGCCCCCCCACAGCCCAATCCGGGCTCCAGAGGTCTTTTCCAGACCCAAACAGGCTGCGCACGGGGGGGGGGGGCTGTGGAAGCGTTCCCCAGCCTCAAATCCGGGCAGCAGCAGGAACCGCGGCAGAGAGGAGAAGGATCTTTTCCAGGTGAGTCTGGTATGGCAGGAGGAGAGGGGGAAGCATGCGGTATCTTAGTGGGTCAGGGAGGCCTTGGGGGCTTGTTCCATCACTAGGCCCTCCATGGCCTTTCCCACCCTGAGATACCTCATGTTCACTTAACGAGCCGTGTGCGTTTTAATAAGGGAGAAAGGGAGTAATCTCGTTCGAGGTATGAGATTCACTCTACGGTGTTTTCAAGTTACGAGTGGAATGGGCAGGCTCCATTTCACTCGTAACTCGACATTTATTCTACTTTGAAATGTTTGAACTTCCCTCTTCCTCCACCCACCCCTCCAATTCAAATGAAACTGCCAAGGTACCATCCTTTAAGTTTTCTTTAATTTTAAAGACAAAAATTATGCAACTTAGTTTACTTGCCTCTAGGGCTGATTTCATACCTTGCTGAGACAAATATCCACAGCTGGTTCTTTTAGCCGTACAGTAGCTTTTCCTTCATCCACGAACTTGGTAAAAAGCTGGTCTATGTTCTCTCTCAACTGTTTTTAAAGAAATGAATTGTAGAACCGTGATCAAGCAATCTATCTGAATTTTAAAAGGCTGTGTCTTCATAGGACCAGATTTTGAGACAAAGAAAAGAGAACAGTTCAAAATCTTCTTCATTATTCAAATGATTTTTCAGCTGTATAGCCAAACAAACCACCAGCCTGATTCAGCAAGACTAAAGAAAAATAATGCAATATTTGTGGGAGTCTGATACAGTGCAAAGTCCCCATCTTAAATATTTTTAAATGTGCAAAATCCTGTAATATTAACAAATATTAAAGATGTTTGTTAGTAATATTATGTCTTATTTATATCTAAGTTTAAGTTTTCAAACTGTGTTTGGCAAAACCTTAGATTTCTGAGAAAAAGCTTGATGGTTCTGTGAGAGATTAAGGTAAGGGCAAAAATATATTTAAAAAGTTCACTTAAATACCCACAGAAGCCTACAGCAATTTTTATATGCAAAAGTAATGACATCCCAATCACTCAACACTGATTTACATGTTTAAAGCATTAACACCCCAAATGATTGTGAAATTTGTTTTAATATTTGTATCCATTTTGTAAAATTTCAACAACTTTAAATAAATTACAAGTATATTTTGTTGCAAATTTTCTATCACTAGAGCTTTGCCTCTTGGTTAGGGTTTTCAGAGGTTTTTTTATCCAACAAGTCTCACAGTCTGAAAAATATTGAATACTACGGATGCAAGCTTTTTAATCCCAATATTATACTTTTGAAACTCTATCTTATTTATTAGATGTGACTAAATCAAGATTTGTTTTATTATTGATATTTTGTGGTTGAAGTCTGTGTGCAGGAATCCCTGGTTGACAATGTTCTTGTAAATTAATAAATGCAATCTTGTCTTGATTTCTCATCTCTTTTACAAATTCTTTACTCTTTGTCATCTACATAAATTAACACTATCAAAGCAGTGCTTGGTGTTCCTATTTACCAATACTGAAATGCTTAGCTGTTCCTAAAATTATTATCTTGCTGGTTCAAATAGGTTTTAATGACATTTATGCACACTTGCAGTTGATTTGGTGTATATTTTAGATGCAGATACCTCAATATTTGACTTACATAGCACACTAAAATTACAAACTGTTTTGTACATGCTTCTGACTCAGTCTTGGCTCCTGGTGACTACATAGACAAATACAATTTTCTTGGCAACATTTTCAGAGGTACCAATGAAGGAGAATATTTGTAGCTCAGGGTTGAAATGAGGGATCCTTGGTGCTCTTTGAGCTTGCTTGTTTTCTTGCAGACGTTTCATTACCCTAACTAGGTAACATCATCAGTGCTAGTAAGGAGTGCTGCTTGCTGTCAGTTTATATTCTGGTGTCTTGCCTGTCTGTATGGATGGAGGCGATCCATGAACACCAACTGGCAGTCAAAAGGCATGACGGAAATTATTTAATTTCACAACGTATAGACAGATTTAACCATAGTTTCAGTTGGGAAAATGTGACAATCCTAGACCAGGCCAAATCCAAAAATGCCAGGGAATTTCTAGAAGCCTGGCACTCTGACATATCAGCCATCAATAGACACATAGACATTAACAACATCTATAGATTATGCAAAAGAGACAATCAAGCAGCCCAAAAGAGAAAAAGACTCCTCCACCAGTAATCAGCATTCAGATCAGCATAGATTAGCTCCAAGGTCAACTTCAGACCAACAATCAAATAAGCAATACCCCAATCAAGAAACTGCCACAGAGCCAATAGTAAACAGCCCAACTAAAGAATCCCTAAGACCACCCCCACCCACCCAGACAGGCAAGACACCAGAATATAAACAGACAGCAAGCAGCACTCCTTACTAGCACTGATGATGTTACCTAGTTAGGGTAATGAACCATCTGCAAGAAAACAAGCAAGCTCAGAGAGCACCAAGAACCCCTCATTTTCAGAGGTGTTTTGCTACTTAAGGCTGAGAGAGAATGAATAGTCCTAAATAATCCAGCTAGCAACCATGCCTCAAACAGGACTAGAACTCAAGTTTCCCTGCTCCTAGTCCAGCAACTTAATCACTAGATCAAACTGACAAGGTGATCACAAACCAGCTAATCAGATTCACCAATTACAGTATTTTGTGTTAATCTACTCCAGGGGTAGTCAACCTTGGCTCTTTTATGACTCGTGGACTTCAACTCCCAGAATTCCTGAGCCAGCTAAGCTGGCTCAGGAATTCTGGGAATTGAAGTCCACGAGTCATAAAAGAGCCAAGGTTGACTACCCCTGAGATTCTACTCTATGCAATTAGTGTTTAAAGTGTCACACAAACTGTGAAAACTGGATTGAGTAGTTTACTGTTGTATTTCATGCAAACATATAGTGCATCCATTCTACATATAATAAATCTATACCTAATTCAAGGGAAGCATTTATCTCATTAGGATACTTTTCTCTCTGTTTTAACTCTCTTCTCAGGTCCTCATCCGAGCTCTCATTTCAGATCTCCTGACAATACCTGCTGCTAACAGTTCATTTTTGTTCTGTTTAGATCGTGATCATTATCTCCAAGCTCTTGCTTTCATTGTTGCTTAGTGTATAAGCTTTTAAGGACTATCTGCTTTTGTAAGAAGTGTACTCTCCAATAGGACATGTTCTGGATATCTTTGCTAAGGAGTGTTGGGCTCATGGGGCCCAGGAAGAAAGCTTTTTCTGCTCTGGTGTCTGCTTTGTCAAACATTATTCCATCTGAGATTAGGTTAGTTTTAAATCTTGGCTTTCGCAAGACCCTTTTAACCTTGGCTTCGTTTCTGAACCTGGGGCCCTGGAAGAGCGATAAAGCCTACTAAAGCCCTTTGGTTTTGTTGATGGTTGATGCCCAGCTGCTGTGTGTCTTTATATTATGCATTTATTCTATTTTATTCTACATATTTCTTTTACCTGGGGTCATGTTGTGAGACAGGTGGCTATATAAATCGAATAAATGAATGAAGATGCTGGCTTAGAAAACAGGAAACAGAGTTCTAGTCCTACTTTTAAGCATGATAGATAGATAGATAGATAGATAGATAGATAGATAGGTGATATAGAAAGAGCCTATTCAGCTGCTATTAGCATCTATCTATCAGCAAGAAAAGATTGTGAATTATTGCTATAGTTTCTTAAGAGGGATCAACTCAAACAAAATGCGGCGTTAAAGGGACCATGCAGAGTTCGGATTAGGCGGAGGACCCAAGACCGAGGAAAGGAGTAAAAGACACCGACCCCCTTCTCTCTCCGCGGTTCCTCACCTGGTATTTGGCTCCAGGGCGGTGGCGGGCAGTGCTGACCAGAAGCCAGACGCCTCCGTCTCCTCCGGTTGGCTTCCCCAGGGCGAGCAGAGCCCTGACAGCGCGTCCCGGGCCCCGCATCCCCGCTGAGGGCAGCAGGCGATTCATTACCAGCACGTCGCAAGGGAGGCGCATTTCCGACGAGCTCGGCTAAGCGCCTGACCAACTCTTTCAAAACAGACCGGCTGAGAGGAAGGCGCTTCCCGCCACCTGCGCGCGCAACCCTCTGAGGAGGCGGGGCCTTTCTTTTTTCCGTCCCTTCCGCGCTTGCGCAGACCTTGAGCCAATCTGCTTACTTGATTGCATGTCTCTGTGTCTGATTTCTTTCTGTTTCTGCGCCGACTCATTCTGAACGCGAGCTTTTTTTTTTTTTTTTTTAACCGTGCCGGGATTATTGTGATTATTTATCATCAAGTCGACATCGATTTACAGTGGCTTTGTGAAGAATTGTCCTAAACCGAGTTCAGGAAAAATCAAAGATATAAGTACAGATTAGGTGAGACCTGGCTCAAAAACAGTAACTGTGAGAGGGACCTAGGAGTCCTAGTGGACGATCACTGGACTATGAGCCAGCAATATGCTGGGTTGCATAAACAGAGGCATTAGAATCAAGATCACGCGAAGTATTAGTACCGCTTTATAAAACCCTAGTGAGACCGCACCTGGAATACTGCAACCAATTTTGGTCACCATACTACAAAAAAGATGTTGAGAGTTTGGAAAAACTTCAGAAAAGAGCAATTCCCAGAATTCCTGAGCCAGCAATTTTAGTGTTTATTTAGTAAGATATTAGTTTCTGAAATAGTTGAAAACATTTATAATTTTCAATTCCCCTTTTTAAAAGACAAACAATTGTCCTTGTTTTGTAAAATACAATTGTCCCCACCCATTTACGGGAGATAGAAAAAAACAACAAACTGCAGGTTTCCTGTGCTTTGTGTCTTTATTGAGTGTAGAAGATCAATCTGATTATTTGGCTTCAGAAAAGAAACTGCAACAGTGCTTTTGTAGAATTGCTGCTGGGAGCCTTTCTGGAAGCCTCATTTGCAATAAGCCTCACATTTTGCATGGTGCTGACATTTGGCATGTAAAGGCACACATGATCCCTGATAGAGCTTAGCAGCATCTTAATAGAATTGGGAATACAGTTTAGTTTCTCAATATCCTTCAGCCATTAGACCTAGAGCATATCAATGTGACTAACTTTCAAGAGTGGGAAACTTGGAGATGTTCCTTTGTTTTTTCACGTTTAGAATCTTTATGTGGGACTCGGATTGGGTCAAGATCAACGTTTTTGCTGTCTTGATAGCTCTGCTTTACTGCATACATAAACATCTTCAGCTGCTTGACACCTGCCTGCTAACAAAAATAATGCACACAGAAAATCAGTATTCATGATTCATTTTTCTGGTCAATATTTTTCAAACAGGTATGAAAGGAGATCAGGAAATATTTCACTGAGGCACAGAAAAAAATTCTCAAGTGCTCTCAGAAAATATATTTTAGCATTAAAAAGCTTTAGTATTGTTGGAAGGTAAAAGCCCCTGTGACACTGTCCCCCTTTTAGCCAGGTCACTCATCAAGTCCAACCACCTCTGATCTACTGGCATTCTCAAAGTTACAAAGAAACTGCTTAATTTCCCCCCCCCCTGCATTGATACTTGGGCTGCAATTGATTAAGAGGACCTCTCCAGGAAGTCAGCTGACAGATGACAAACATTAAACAGAATTCCCTCAAGAAAAGGGAAATCTTTTATCACAATACTTCACCCTGATGCCGGACCCCTCATAAAAATCCACACCTAGGAAAAGAACTACGCATCTAAGATCAACACACTTCAGAGGGCAAGAAATGATTTTCCTCTCCACTTCACTTGCCCTCAAGGCAGGAACATTTCAGTTTACACATGTAACATACTTCAAGATCAAAGTCCAATTTTACTATAAGTACTACCGCTTTCAGCATTCTAACTTTACAGCCTACATTTCAATTGCTGTTCTACACATTGACGTAAACCC